TGGGTGTATAACCCACAGAGGAAGAAGGGAAGATGCCCAAAGCTGGACAGCAACTGGGAAGGGCCCTGCAGGGTTCTGGAGAGACTGAGTGAGGTCGTCTACAGGGTCCAACTGCAGAGGAGAGGGAGAATAGTTGCTCTTCACCGGGACAGGTTGGCACCCTATCGGGGTACAGCGACACCACTAGGATCAGTTGGTGAGACACAGCGGGCTAGGGACACTATTCTTTCTTCTTCCCAAACCCCCTCCCATGACCCAGCGACCTTGCCTGGTTCCCCACAACCTGGACTTTTTTTCCCTTGCCCTACTCTGAGCCCCACGGTGGGCCTGTTTCCCCCTGCCGCAGACCAGGCACGGCCGCAGAGAAATCGCAGACCCCCTAACCACCTGAGAGACTTTGTTTATTCCCTCGAGGACGAGGGACTTTGAGGAGGGGGGAAAGTGTAACGGACTGGTTATAATGTTGATGTTTGATGTGTTTGTTGTTCAGAGTTTGTTTGCATTTTACAGAGTGTCAGTGAACGTGCCACTGTTTTGATGGACGGTTCTTGTGACCTGTAGCTGTGGGTTTGGGTGGGAGAGTGTTGTCTGGTTGGTTGGGGCTGGAAGAGGGAGGTTCCTGAGGGGGAGACGCGGGAAGCGAGAGAGGAGCTAGGGGAATATGTGACGGAGAGTGAGGATATACGACAGAGTTAGTGGATTGTTTGGCGTGGTTATGGCCAACAGTAACCTGTGATCTGTATAATAAACTCCCGGATAAAGGACAAACCAAGCCTCCCTGTGTTCCTGTAGCGAGACGCTACACTATCATCAGAGTAACGTGATCTAATCAATACATAAAGATTCAGCCGATAACACGAAAGCACATGGCTACTTAACATGCAGAATGACGTCATTTTGCACGCTAAGTAGCCATGTGCTTTCTGGAGCTAAATCTTTATCAGTAAACCGATTTAACCGGTAAAAGTTCCTTCAAAATAAGAGTCCCGATCTTATTACTATCAAAATAAAAGTGCAAAACGAAAACTTTACCATAGGAAAATATTGGCATACAAATATAATCACTTCTCTAAAAGGTAACTCATTTTAAACATAGTTTATTTATATATAATAATAATAATATGAATATTAGTAATAAGCTTTATATTTGTATAGCACCTATTACAAGAATTGTAGCCAAACTGGCTTCACAGCAGTTCAATAGACAGATTAGTATAACATGACAGGATAAAAGCAATGTAGAGGAGCAGCTACATTTCAACACATATATCCACGAAGATTAATACATGAAGACTTGTGACTCGGACTTGACTTGGACTCTTCTTAGGTGACTCGGACTTGGACTCGGACTCGAACACAGGTAATGATGAATCGGACTCGGACTCGACTCGGACACTCCTTGGGTGACTCGGACTTGGACTCGGACTTGAACACAGGTAATGATGACTCGGACTCGGACTCGACTCGGACACTCCTTGGGTGACTCGGACTTGGACTCGGACTCGACTACGACTCTCCCTTGGTGACTCGGACTTGGACTCGGACTCGAAGAGTGGTGACTCGAGAGTGACTTGGACTCGTGAATTGGTGACTTGACTACAACACTGGGTGAGAGTCAAGCAAGTCAAGTCAAGTCATTGCTCAGGTCAAGTCAAGTCAAGTCAAGTCATACGAAATTCTGATGAATAAGCCCAGTTTCCGTATTTAAATCAGTTAAAAGACAGTGGTTATGAAAATGGATTCAACCCACACTATGATCTTCATTACATACACAGTTAATCATTTGAAATCTAATTTAGACCGATGACAATCATATTAGATTAATATTAACCCTAGAACTGCAGACAATATAGCTAGGACTCAATCAAAAAGTCTGTTCAAAAAGGCAGAATTCCAGGTAAGAAAATCGTATATGGCATTTGCCATTACACATATTTAATTTAAATGTCTGTTCACACTAGAACCGCCAACAGCGTCAGCACCTACATAGATATCATTTTCAAATCATTTAATTTGTTCCTCTTCATCATTTCCTTATAAACTAAGTAGGACGATTTAAAACTCACTTAATTGGGTTAATTTAGAAATTGCTTCAGTTTATCATCATAACAGATCAAAAAGTTCAGATTCATTTTACAATAAATCAAGGAATGATGCACTTCTACAAACAAAAACATCATAATTAAAACATTTAAACAAACTACTAAAAGTAGATGAACTACATTATTCAACAGTTTACAGTAACTTCTGATAATACAGGGGAAATAAACGAGGCATCTCTTTTCCTCTCTCTCTCTCTCTCCCTCTCCTGACAGCCCGTCAGTATCAGGGTTAGTACAAATGAATCCCTTGGAGGTTCTAGTGTTCATTTACCGTTTTGTCTTCTCTTTGTAATGCTTAATCGATTTGAAACCAAGTTTAACGTAGCTTAAACTTAACGTTAGCTTTCTAGCTAACACAACACATTCACGCACCTTTCTCTGTGGGTTTTTTTGTAGTGACGAATGAAGTTGGATGTTGTGGTGGTCGTGTCACTGGTCTTTATGCTGCAGACCCTGCATACCGCTGTTCTCTTCTTATTAGCGTCATCAACAACATAATCCTTGAATCCAAACTTCACTATTTTTGGAGTAACGCTAGCCGCTGCCATGTTAACTGACACTCCTGCCGTCTAGTGGGTTGCCAGGTTTGCGCGCATGGCGCTATAATCACCCAATCACGTTTTTCGAAAAAACTAAACGTAAGATCTCAATACAAAAACAAACGCAAATATTTAATTTTAAACAGTCAAGTCCTTTCAAGTCATCTGTCTCAAGCTTAAGTCAAGTCTCAAGTCATGAATACCAAGTCAAAGTCAAGTCAAGTCTTTTATCAATGTTAGTCAAGCAAGTCTCAAGTCCAAAAATATGCAACTCGAGTCTGACTCGAGTCAAGTCATGTGACTCGAGTCCCCACCTCTGATAATACAAATAATGTCATGGCTTTTGTTGGCTTCCTTAAAGGACCCCTATTATACTGTTTTTCATCAATATATTATAGGTCTCAGATATATACAAAACATGTCTCTGAAGTGTTTGGCTCGAACTGCAGCATCCCATAAACCCCTCTGTTTCAGCCCTGTTTCAAAAGTGCTGATTCTCTGTCTGTTACTTTAGATTAAAATAAGGAGCCACTCCCCAGACCCCTCTGAGAGATATTTAGTTAAAAAGAACACAATGGTGCTCTAGGCGATTCAGGTGATAAGGTGGGGGGGGGGTTACCTTGGTTGGTGATTGGCTAATGGTTACACCAAAACATCGTTATGACATCATAAAGTGGTCAGCTCATTTTCAGACGGGTTTATATAAATGGATCAGGACAAAAAGTGAGCAAATGTTTTTTCCTGAAACTTTCAGAATCTCTTTACACAGAGGGGACACATGTTTATGTATACAATACATGAAAAAGTGGATTTTGCATAATAGGTGACCTTTAAAAGGTAATGTTTCATGATTTATTGTCAGTAGTAGCTGTAATTGCATTATTTAGTTTTTATTTGAAATGTAACGTTAACAAATGCAAGGAATGGAAAATGTTTTATTTTTGACAGCTAATTATTGTATTTTTTTCATTTTATAGCTCTTACGTTGGTATTGATTGTATACTTGCAAGGGTGTGCAATAAACATATACCATCAGTTGGAGAATATGACCATTTGAGCCGGGGACGCTAAAGTCAGCATCTACCTGACAGCATTACATTGACCACTGAAGGAAATTAAATATATGAGAGTTTAAAACGGAGTACATTTGTGAAGTGTTACAATATCATTAGAGCTCACTTACCCTTTAATGTAATGTATTAAATGTCTTTAAATGGTTGAGTCTGATGGTCAATGTGTTAGAGTTGGCAGCCCTGCAAAAACATATTTTCTGTACAAAGTTATTCTGAGCACTTCATGCAGTGTTAATACAATGCATGGAGTGCTTAGAATAAGAGTGTTTTAGCTGAGATAGCAGGACAGTTAAAGTAGTAACAGTTATAGATAATAACATTTCAATAGTACACCAAAAATAGTAGAATAAGGAAATAGTAGCATACACTCCGTTCCCTTTTCTTCTTTGGGTGGGGTTCTTTATTTTGAAAACACCATCTGTTACAGTTTAGCACAAAATGAAACTGTTGCCGACAGGGAAATAGAATTTATTAGGTAACTCTTGCAAGAATTACTACAAATTGTCGTTATGGAAACATACAGGAGTTCCATTTAAGACTTTTGTAACAAAAATAAAAACGTTTTGCTTGAAGATATAAGTAAAACGTTTAAAACAGTAGCCATAACCGCAAAGCAGATAAAGAGAATTGTCACCAAGTCACAGCTTCAGAAAACACTCTGCCCTTTCAAATTCAACGTCCATAGTTTATTTGATAATTGACAAAAATGATGGTGGGAATAAAGCAAATAAGGAACAGGATGGGACCCAGGACTGTGGCCAAGATGTTGAGGCGGCGGGCGGTGGAGCCGTAGCGTCGGGCTCCTTCCATATCTCCAACCACCTTCCGGTCTCTGGCCTGAAAGGACCAAAAACACATACATTTTATGTGGATTCATAGATTTTCTAAAACTTAAATGCAATTTTTTATCTCTTTATCTCTTTCCCCATAAGAAATGTTCTGTGTCTGATTCCATCTTTTGAAGTGTCCGTAGTCCTTTTATAGTTTCTTTTTTTACAACTTTTTAGTGTTTATTTTTTTAAATAATACGTTCTAAGCCTACATCTTAAGTATTCAAGATTAACAATTCTGGTTCTGCAACTGCCTGCCAATAACAAACACATTTTGTTTGCATTATTCTTTAATTAATAGGCCATAAAATAATATTTCCCATGAATGAAACTCACCTTGATGGAGTAGATGAAGGCCGCCAGTCCGAGGCCGAAGGGGTGTAGAAAGCAGCAGAGGGACCAGATGATGTGGTCCCTGGGGGGCTCAGGGGGGACGCTCACAGATGTGTACTGAACCACTGTAGATACTCCAGGGTGTCCCTGAACCACTGTAGATACTCCAGGGTGTCCCTGAACCACTGGGTATCTCCCCTGCAATGGGGTATTCTCAGGTGGGTAACCTGCAGGATACATGGCTGTCAGCTCAACTACAGTTTGAGGTGCGACTAGCAGACACGCTGAGCAACTCACAGTGTCACGGTGGTCAGTGTGGGTTTTTCTTTTTAAGCTGGGTGCTTTACGTAGCGCGGCCCGAAAACCAATGAGACAAACGCATAGGCAACCTACTTGGGTTGGCTGTTGCTGCACAAGGAACATACGATTTGCTTTCTTAAAAATAAGGTCTGAAGAGTCTTGATGCACACTTTTGTTCCTCAAGGCAATTAGCAAAGGAAAAAGAGTTGCTGCCAAAAGAAAAATACACGATAATGTAATAAGCAATTTACAATACAGCTTGGTAATAAAATGGTATTGGCTTTGTTCTCGCCCCACTCGTTCTTCATTCCTTGCAGGTTGTGAGCAGTATCTTAGCTGTTCCTAGGACTGTGCTCATCTGGATAGAGATCATGGATGTTGTTCCTGAGATTTTCTGATGCCATTTCCAAGTTTAGGGGTCACTGCCCCCGAGTGCTCCGATCACCACTGGAACCACTGTTGCCTTCACCTTCCACATATTCTCTAGCTCCTCTCTGAGCCCTTGGTATTACCCAAGCTTCTCATGATACTACGTCCTGATGTTGCCATCACTTCAGATTGCTATGTCTATCACAACTGCTGCTTAAACACTGAGGTGGGGTCAGACAACACAAACACATTTTTCTGGAAAGTAGTTTCAAAACCCACAAGCCTTTCTACGGTCTTAGCAGGAAACCCACTCAATCAGTTTTGCTATATCACTTAATAAAACACACTGAAATGATACGTTTTAAGTCAATTAGCTCAATTAAAATGTAAATGTATCTTTGAATACTGTTTTAAAAGATCCATGAAGACAAACCTGCTTTAGAAAGATGGCGAGAACAGAAGAAATGGAGACAAATAGAAGCTGCTGAAAGGCTTTGATTACAATTGAATTAAATATGACAAGCACTAATTACACATCTCATTTGAAAGAGTTTAAGAACTCTAACAATAATATAAAAATACTTTACATTCAGAAGAACATTTGAAAGTAAATACAAAACTAGCAGATGACATGTACAAACCTTGAATATTGATGCACTGTTTGAGATCTGTGTGCTCTCTTCTCAGGATAAAGGGATTTAAAGTTCAACTGAAAGGTGAATCTGCAATAATCAGACTCCCAACTTCATATTTCGTAATATGCTGTTAAACCACAACAGGGGGAATTTTTGGACAGTGTTTAATTGTAATACCATTTATATCAGAACTTATAGATTTAATGTCAATGAACATCTTAACAATGGTATTAAAGTATAGTCTCTGTCTACAGAAGAATAAGTGTTGAACTACAACATCAAGCAGAGCATTTCATAACTGGTTCTCGTGATTTAAGGTTAAAATAATCTGTATTTGGTAGTCATAAACACACAAAAGGCACTAAAGATTTAGCAGTAATGGATATAAATTCCTCATCTTGATACTTGCTCCTCATAAATTGCATATAATGAGTAGGGCAGATGACCATAAGCAAACAAGCTTTATAGTTAGACTGACAAAGAGTTTCCAGAGCCATTTGTACTAAATAAAATATAGCTTTTCATGATTACTGAGGGAAAACTAACCATAAGAGAAAAACATTTTGAATACATCTGATTACTTTATATTGAAGTTTAAGATTATAGTTGGAGGATTACAACATAGTAGTACACACACAACCTGAGGATTTATAGCAAACAATCATATCTCATCATGCCCCCTGTGGACATTTACAGTAAGGCTTCACATCAATGGCCGAGGCTCCTGGGCGGCTGTAAACGTGCACTTCTGTGTTCTGAAAAACACAAAAGTGGAGAAGAGAGAGAAAGAGGATATTATTTAAATGAACATAAGATACATGGCATATTCAAGCTTAACTGGTGGCATTATGAAATATGTAATAAAGAGAAATCACAAATTAACATTTCATCCAATCTAAACATCTATACATGGATGGACTGTTACTCAACACTGGATTAGACCTCACAGCGAGAGTGTTTACCTTCTTGTTCTTGGCGTTGTACTTGTTGAGAAGGCTCTGAACGCGGTTGCCATAGTCTGCATGAACAGCCTTCAAGTTCTCCACCTGCATGAAGAACCAGACAGTGAGACTTTAGGCTTTGAAAACAGGTTTTCTAAACTGAAACCAAACCATTATCTGCCAAAGTCAGGGCCATTTGTTTCTTCTCATGAGAACACGAAACTCTTGTCCTCTGTAGTATTCTTGCTTTGTCACGTTCTTCTGTGCACCATTCAGGATTTATCAAGTCGATGTGTATGTGTGGTACAAAGAGACCGAAATACCGTTTCCCACCGTCCCAAAGATAAAAATATACAGTATAAAAAAAATATATACATGACACAACAATAAATATATAAAAATAGCAGTCACGTAGACAAAATGGATGAACATATGAGAATGAATGAATCTATGACAAGTCAACAATTCCATCACAATTTCATCATAGTTGGTGGGTTTTTTACAATTGTATTGTGAAGGGAGTGTTAAAGTAAAAACTACAAAAAAATACATCTTAAAAAATCTTGTTATTTATTGTTGTAGAGAAATACTTTGAGAGAGAATTGAACCACGTTGGTTTCAAACTTTTTTTCAACATCCAACTTCATAGTTTGTAAAAGGAAAAATAAATTGGTCAAATGTGGTAGATTGTTTTTGCAAAGTGGAACGAGGAAGCATGAACACCGTGCACAGAGGGTGATTTACCCACTTCCACACAAGCCACAGGGTTACAGTCACTGTGGTGAGCTGACAGTTTGAGAGCGTAGGGGCAGCTTGAGAGAAAGTACTGAATAATGAACTCTTTAAATGTTACTGTATTAGTTTATATGGGTTTGGTAGTTCTCTGCTATGGTGAACCAAAACAAAACATCTGGTTGCTTTGCTTCTGTTGTCATATTTGCATTGTTGTATTTATTTTAAATCATAATTATGTAGATGAAATACTGATTCAGTACTAGGGTTGAGCCTACAGAAGCAGTTCGTAGTTTGATTCAAAAGATCGCTAGAGAATTTTATTTAGATTTCTGGTTCCTTAACAAATGTGCCGTGCACCATAGTACGCAGTTTGTTTTTTGGCCTCCTTGCTGTACTTCACACAGCAGCACACGCTTATTGGACTGCACTTAATGTTGTTATTTCATTTATTTTTTGTTGAAACTCATATTGACTTCCATTTCATAATTGAAGTAAACAAGCCTGCTGTGTATCTCACTGCGGCATGCTGTTTTGCAACCCTGAGACGGTCAGACAGGCAGAGCGAAGACAGTAGCGTTTTCCGAGAAACACAAACTATAACTTTCATTTTGACTTTTGCATGCACTGGCTGAGGGTGCGGTATTAACTGGCAAGATGTGATAAAACCTGTTTTCCGGCAGTTTTCAGTGTAACAGTAGAGGAGACCAGTGGCAGTTGCCACACCATGAATTGCATAAATCAGAACTAACATGTGAATGAAAGAAAATTAACAAATTATTATTGAATCATATATTTGAATAGAATCAACCAAAAAAATGGTATTAAATGTATTTACATGATCCAAAAGCCTTATCAAGTGAATTGTGTGTATGATGTGTCCCTCACCAACCCTATTCAGTGGATTGACCGGATTAAAGACCCAATGGGAAACTGAAGTCACTGTGAACATCACTCTATATAAATCTGCTTTACAATCTTAACAGCCAGACTCTTTAGGTTCTCAGCATAAAGTAGGTCACTGTTTCCAAAGTAAGTAATTGAAGATTTATTCAGTAACTCTGCACCACCTTACCCTAAAAGCTTTAAAAACCTGTCCTTTTGTGTTGCCTTCTAATGTATTTATTTTACATCAGAATAGGATTTAATAAAAGGAGCATATACAGACTTAGTTTGTTTTCATGTGTGTGTGTAAGACACATTGAAAGTGCTTTGTGTAAGGAATCGTGCAACATAAATACGCCTGCCTACACCCACAAAGCCACACGGTTCAGAGCACAGGCTCCGGGGAACATTTGGTGTTTTAAAACGCTACATCCTGTGGTTTCATCATGGAACAACTGACATTGTTTTCTTTTCTTTTGGGTAACTAATATAAATGCTTCGATTAAAAGTTAACTGATTTCACTACTGGATACTTTTTAAAAAATCTTCACATGGTCATTCAATCAAAAATCCACGTGTAAATCATAACAGAGTGAAACACTGTGTGCAGTAAAGTGTAAGATGGTGAGCACTCACCTGCGCTTTTGGATGAAGAGCTGTGCTCCCTTCAGGGCCCCGGCCATGTTCTGGCAAAGTCTCTGCAGCTCCTCTACGCTCAGCACCTGCGTGTAGAAGGAGCGAACCTGCAAAGAAAGTATATAAAATCCTTGAAAACCTGATCATAAGGGTTCAATTAGATTACATATATTATAGTCATCTACATTGGGCTTTATTTTTGTCACAGCAGCATGTAAACAGGCATTACACTAATTAAAAATGTATTATATTGAAAAACAACCGAAAATAAACCAAATAAATAAACCACTGTAAATATGTACATATCAACTGTAGAAAATATATATATCAATAGAGTATATCAAGAAAACACAATATAAAATGTACAAAATAAGTTAAACCTCTGTGGTAGTCCAAGCTACTTCACATTATCAAATAAAGTGTGATTGATTCAGGTTTTTATACAGACTTGCATTTGAAAAAGATTTTGTAAACTGGGATCCTATTTCCACAAACCAGTGCAGGGTAAGGGAAAAACCCGGGCCATGTTGATTTTCTATTTCACTTGCGCCACCATTGTAACCACTGGCCCAGAAGCATTTGTCAAAATTGACCCCAATAATAACGAAAATAAACACATCATACAATCAGCACAGCCCCTAGTAGACCCCCCCCCCCCCCCCCCCCCCCCCCCCCCAAACCCTAACCCTAACCCCCCCCCCCCCACACACACACACACACACACACACACACACACAAACACACACACACACAAACACACACAACAACACAGACTATAACACCCCTTGTTGTTAATTACCAACTATGTGCAATATGTGCAATATGTGCAATATATATATATATATATATTCCGTGAATAACTGTGCAATATGGTTGCTACATCTTCAGAACTGTTACAGGCTGTGTATTTTGTAAATTGTGTAATTCTTTATTTTTTTAATTTTTGTATCTCCTCTTAAAGGTGGGGTAGGTAAGTTTGAGAAACTGGCTCGAGATACACTTTTTGTTATATTCCATGGAATGCTCCTAATATCCCGATAGCAATGAATATCTTAAGTGCTTTGACAAAAAATCCATAAAAAAATGTCATCTGTGGAAGCCGTAGTACTGTAAAAAGCACGACCAATCATTTTAGCCGGCCCGGCTAAAATAACTGGATGGCCTACCTGCCTGTCAGCCTTCCATCTGTGCACAAACTTATCTCGTGCCCTCATTGGTCATGTGCGCGTTCGTGTGTGTTGTAGGAGGGGCTCTGTAAGGAAGTAGCAGATTTCTTCCGGCTGTGTATTTTTTTTAATTCTAGCGCACTCAAGCTGGTTTCTCCAAAATTACCTACCCTACCTTTAAGCCCCACGGACCCACCGAAGGGGCCGAAATCACAACATCTGCAAGCAAAAGTGTCTGAGGGCTTCTTAAGATTGAATAAACTATGAATGTTTCATATCTATGCAACGGGAAGAAACTCAGCTAACTGATCTTTTTTTTTTTTTTTTACAAAAAAAACCTCAAAGCTAACGGGCAAAAAAATATTAAGGCCGTTAGCACAGAACTCTAGCTATACCGATCGATATATCTATTGGATCTGCACAAACAAGCTTAGATAACATCCTGAGATTCCACAGATTATAGAAATATAAGGATCATCACTGAGTGATCAGAACTCGTGACAGGGGAAGCAAATACAGACAACACACAACGTAGCTTTAGCTAGCAAAACACGGAGATATGCTCACTTTAGCTGTTATTCTGATCAAAAGTCGTGTTCAATGGCATTAAAACGAGAAAAAACGTGGCTGAAGGTTAATCCATAGGTTATAGCAATGTGTCTGTCACTTGAAAAAATTATTGATAGTCCATAATTCTATTTATGCAAAAATCGGAGAAGAAAAATTAGCTGCTAATGGTAGCCACCAGAGGCTAGCGCAGCTTCCGGTTTTTCTACGCGTCACTATCACTCCTTATTTGGTAACCTGTGTGTGTATGGGGAACTTTCCCTCGATTCCATTGGCTCTGACGGTTAGAAAGAGATGTCAATCATCTAAATCGACCAAAGGGGGCCAGAGATAGGTCAAATCCCCCCAAATTACCCCAGAAGTGGGTTTATTTTGCTAAATCTCTCTAAAAAGGTCAAATGTCACTTGTTTTGCATCAATCTTGATACAGGGTACTTATTATATGTTGTACTTTGGATTCCTAAAGCTTTTAGTCTACTAACCCATCATCCAAGGGTAGTTTTCACTATAAGTACAAAATAATTTTTGGACGTACACTATCATTTACAGTTTTTTACTAAATTCAATCTGAATTTTCTTTAAAATAAAAAACATCTATATTGATTCTGACTTTTCTACATCCAACTCACAGGTTTATATACTATATTATATTATTATAATTTTCCCCTTTTAGAAGGGAAGATATGGTCATTTGTTCTGGAAATGTCTTTTTCGAGCCTGAGGCCTGAAAAACAGGCTTGGGGCCTAACAGGTTTTTAGTTTTTTATGCATACTTTTTGTTAAACATAGGCTGTCTTTGGCTCTTTTCTGCTGTAACAAATGCAAATTTCTCCTCTGTGGGACGAATAAAGGTATTCTGATTCTGATTCTGATTCCGACATTTGATGCAATAGTAAATTATTTACAAATTAGATAACAATTCAATGAGTTCTTCCTCATTTTCCTGCTCGGCATATTCTCAATTTTTTCCTGTAAGCCTGCATCTATATAGTTTAAATGTTCTCCAGCAAACACAGCGGGGGTTTATTTTGCTGCCTCTTCACACACAACTTGTGAGAGGCGCTCTTATCATGAGGGTCAAACCCTGTGGAGCGAATACTACAGTATAACTAACTACTATACATTTATATAAGGCAATTGTTCATTATTCGATCATTAAAATAATTATATCGTGAAATATTCCATCAAAATGTCACAAAGGATGCTAAGGTGGCAATACCAGGTGTGATACTCGAAGGCATTGAGGGAAGACCTAAGAAATATCTCCTACAAATACAATTAAGTGGTTAAAACCTGACCCCCCAACATTCAATGTTGGACTGAGAATGTCCAATCTATCAGATGGAGCAAACAACTTATGCTCTAAGGATCCAGACAGACATATTTCGCAAAAGGTGGAGCCACGCCACAACTGTGCTGATCCAGTAAGTTCATACACACACACACACACACACACAACTACACACAACTAAAACACACACATGGATGACCACCCACCCCCCCCCCCCCCTTTGCTGTTTTACTTTATTATTATTATTATTTGTATGTATTTATCTATATGTCTATTTTATTATTATTATTTGTATTGATCTCTTTTTTTCTTTTTCTTATGTTGGCTATTATAAAAATGTGAACATGTATGTTTAATGAAACCTGAAATAAAAACTAAGTTAAATAAATACATAATAATTATTATATTGTGGTTATTGTTAAATGTAATTAAATACCCCACTGATGGGTATGACGGTGACATTTCTGCTCAGAGTATTATTGTTTTTATATTGCACTTACGGCTTGCCTGTCATTGTCAGGAGGTAGAAATATAATTGCTATGTAATTTACTATTGTTTGTTGTCTGCCTCTTGAAAGATGTTTTTTTTGGTGCAAAAATAATGTTTACAAGCATGTCGCAAACTTTGTCCGTCTGCTCTTTGTTAGTGGGCAGGAAGTGGATTTAACACAGCTTTTGGTTGAACACTAACAAAAGCAGAGGGAGGAAACCAAAATGGTAAACATGCAGCGTGAAAACCACAAAAAGAACTGAAACTTTGAAAGCTGAGTGGAGCGGCAGAGGTTGTTGATAAATATCTGTGGGTTTTCTATGATCGCACCTCTGACACAAGTAGCCATTTCATCTATTGTTGACACAAAATATATTGGTAAATGCAGCTTTAAATAAAATAATGTTGGAATGGAAAACAGAGATTTCCCTTAGTAAGTCTCTTTATACAGTAAAGCATAATGCAAATAATGTCATGGCTTTTGTTGGCTTCCTTAAAGGACCCCTATTATACTGTTTTTCATCAATATATTATAGGTCTCAGATATATACAAAACATGTCTCTGAAGTGTTTGACTCCAAACACCAAACAGATCATTGCAGCATCCCATAAACCCCTCTGTTTCAGCCCTGTTTCAAAAGAGGTGATTCTCTGTTTATTACTTTAGATGAAAATAAGGAGCCACTCCCCACGCCCCTCTGAGAGATATTTGGTTAAAAAGAACACAATGGTGCTCTAGGAGGAGATTCAGGTGATAAGGTGGGGGGGGGGGGTTACCTTGGTGGTGATTGGCTAATAGTTACACAAGCCCAAAAATCGTAATGACATCATAAAGTGGCCACAATCTGATCAGCTAATTTTAATATAAATGGATCAGGACAAAAAGTGAGAGAATCTTTTGTCCTGAAACTTTCAGAATCTCTTTCCACAGAGGGGACACACGTTTATGTATAAAAAACAAGAAAAAGTGGATTTTGCATAATAGGTGACCTTTAAAAATCAGCATGAGGTTGGATTTCGGAAGGCTGTTAAATAAAGCAAGTTAGCAAGGAAGTAAACAAAAATAATAATAATAGCAGCAAAACCCATGACTGATAAGCCTTATGGTAATATTCTGGCACAACACAGCACATGCCTATAAAAGTGACACAGTTACAGACATTATTTTTACCTGTGTGTAATTGTCTTCATCTGCACTGTTGTAGCGGGCCACATCTGGAGACACCTGGAACTTGGACTCCACAAACTGAGGCTGGGTGTCCGGGGCACTGAAGCTGTAAAAAATAGATTGGACCGCCACCTAGAGGTAAGACAGACCAAACACTGGTGAGTAAGGGTAGGGAGAGAAAATGCTGCTCAAATACTGAAGTAACTGAGACAATAAAAGGGAAAGGATACTCATAGTGAGGAAGGTCTCTCTGGTTTAAAAATATGGCATCTTGTAAAGTCTTTTAGACATTCTCACAGCTTTGATATTCTGTGTAGATAATTGGGTTTTTTCTAAGCATGTAAAAAAGCAATTACAAGGAAGTGGGGAAAGGTGGTTCAAAGGAAAAAGTTGTAAAAAACAAAAAACAAACATATGTTTAATCTACAAAAAACACAACTGGAAGCAAATTAGGAAAAATGTAAATTATAAAACACTCAAAATGGCAACACCAAAACAAAGCATTTTTTTATATAATATCTGCATTTTCTCTTTTGAAAAACTAAGTCTTAGTTTGGCCATAGTTATTTAATATATAAAGACTATATATTATTGAATTACAAGATTAGATATACTTTATTTGATCTAAAATATTGATGTGTTCAAATGCTCTTCTAAACAAAACTGAAAGTCCATGAAAGTTGTCTTCCTGTTTTTGTGAATGAAGCGCCATCTCCTGGTTAAATCCTGAAATTGAAAATCTGGCAACGCCCTCTTGGAAAATAGTGGGAGGGCTTAACATTCCCAGATACTGGTCTTTGGCAGGTCTTAGGCAGGTAGCTGGAAGGTAGCAGGCAGGAAGCAGTAAACTGGAGTCTGAAATAAGCTGCTACATCTGTAAGGTCATACAAACTTAAATGAATGGCTTCATAGATTACACAAGATACACATTTTCACACTATCCACATCTGCTGCTACAACAGTTAAGAATGTGTGTATATCCTTGTCATGCACATAATGTACAACAATATCTGTTTTCTTTTTTTATAACTGCCGATTTTCATTCCATATTTTATTCCTTATATTTTACTATATTTTGTATTATTTTTAATATTTGTTCTAGTTCTCTACCTGTGTTTTTAATGATTGTTTTACTTTTATGTATGCACCACGACACCAAGTCAAATTCCTCGTACATGTAAACCTACCTGGTAATAAACCTGTTTCTGATTCTGATTCTGATTTATTGTCACAAAGTAACACACACACACACACACACACACACACACACACACACACACACACACACACACACACACACACACACACACACACACACACGCACACACACACACACACACACATTGAATGCCAGATTTGTTATGGAATGTGTGTGTTTTTAGTTATAAAAAATAAGATTTTTGCCATTATTTGCAATTTATGTCCAGGCAACATGCATATTTCAATAAATACCAAGGGAATGTTTTACAGAAGTTGGTTTATGGTTTTTTTCTAACTATAAATTAAACAAGTGGTCATTTATGCAACAGAAACACTCTCTGGTCACTAGAAAAATGTTCTGTGTTTTATCTTATTTATAATAAAAAATGGCAGCAGATAGAGGTTTGTTCCTACAATTTAGTAGAACATCTCCCTGTCTCATTACAATCTGACTGAAAAAAGATTAAAAGAATAAAGAGAAGACAGTGTGTCGTTGTTTTACCTGCAGCATCTTGTCGGGGCTCGCCTCGATGCCAGGCGGCATGTTGCTGGGGTCAAAGGCCAGCTGCTCTATCTCGGCAAAGTAGTTCACTGCATTCCTGTTGAGGACCATTTTGCCCACGGGGATCAAAGGGTATTCTTTTTGTGACCAAACCTGAGTGAGCTGAAAAAGACTGTACCATAAAGCTGGAAGGGCAAAAACAACACACCCAGGGAAGTAGTTCACATGTACTGGAGGCTAAACATCACCTCCTTTGCTTTCAAAACCTACTACACTGAATGCCTTGTTGTGGTTATATTGATTTTACTGTTGTCTTTTTCTCCACCTTGTTACCACAGTATGTTGGGGAAATATTTTCCAAGGCCGATAACTTTGACCCAGTTTATTAGTTTAAACTGTCCTGACTGAGCACAGGCACCTGCAACCTTGGCTGCTGTGCTCTCAGTGTTTTTACTCCCTCTTCCTGCCTGTTGGCATCAGCTGATAGAGGTGTTATGGTTCTATCTTGTTGTGCACAATGTTAATTATTCTCTCAGAACTAGCTAAATACATGGGTCTGGGGTAGAGTTCTTCAGAATTTATTGTGGCATCTCATCCGTGTGGTCAGACCGTGGCCCTAAGACATGTCTTGCGAATTCTCCGGCCGAAGCTCCAAATAAACCGTCAGTGTTTGCCCATCAAAACTCCAGCTCTCCTCATGTCTCTCTGAGTCCTGTTTCCAATTGCTTCAGAAGTTTCCCCCAGAAATTGGCGTTGTCTGCAGGATACCAACAAATCTTCGCAAGGACCTTCTGCAAAATCTTTGGCATGCCAAAGTGCTAAAATCCCGAAGTTGCTGCCGGATCCTGAGAAATTCCACCGGCGGTCATACGATGGCTTAAGATGCCCTCACGAATGCCTTACGAAGGGCAAAATGGACACACGAAGTCAACACGAAAATGAACCTTCGCAATGTCCTTCGGCAATGCTTTGCCATGCCAAAGATGTTGCCACCGCTCCCGAAGTTGCTGCCGGAGAGTGAGAAACTCCACCGGTGGTCATACGATGGCTCAAGATGCCCTCACGAATGGCCCGATGTTGTTACGATCAGAGCCGAATTTGAACATTTCCTTTATCGTGTGTCCATCGGGTGTCAATTTCAGGACAGTGTGACGTGGGCTTTAATGGTTACAATATTGCTATGAGTTATATCTGAAGCAAATTATGTTTCTGAAGATGTGTAGTCAATTCCACCCTTCAATGTAGCATAAATGGGAACTCTCATACAGGAACAATACCGGAAACAGACGTAGGAAAGATCCTCAGCTCGGTGATTGGATGTTTTAGCCGCAATGCACGTTGGGATATGGTGTTTATGCGATGTGAAATCCGAAAACATTAAAAAAATAAATAAATACTTTATTCCGAGTATGCTTGCTTTTCTCTTTATAAGTCATCACATAAATGCATTGTAATACACGGTTTGGCTGCATTAAATATTACACATCTGCCGTAGTTCTTTATTTATAGAGCCCTGATGAGAAGACTTCTGGACAAACTTGAAGAACTGCCTCCGAAACTGAATATGTGACGTGGATCATAAATATATAAATATATAAACAATTAAACAACATCTTACATTTCTTTTCACAAAATATGTCTCCTTGCAGTATCAATAGTAATTCGGCTGACTTTTATATTTGATCCAATTGGTAGATAGGTTATATTTACACCATAACAGTGCACAGCTGATAGACAGGGACTTGTCATTTTTAAATTTTCTTTGAATATAAGCATGTAAATACTGAGTTGAGAGAATAGTCAGGGGATTTGGGTGATGGGAGACACATCTATGGATTCAGAATTTTAATAGCTTACTGTTAAATGACGGATATACCTTTCTCTCTGCGATGTTTTACACATCAGATATTGGAAGTAAAACATGTGAAATAATATAGCAATATCCTGTACAATTATGTGAAAACATGAATAAAACTACACATCTTCAGATGTTATACATACACAAGTGTCCTACACTAATAATACAAAGTTATTATGGCTGTGTGTACCTTGTGTGCACCGCCTAGCACGTTATTGAATTAGTTGTGTATATGATATGTCAATGATCCTTAGAAAATCTTGAAATCTTGAAAGGGATATGCAAAATAGCCATTATATACAGTCTTTAATGAACTATTAGTAGAGCATAACGAGTAATGAATATACTTTATAGGGATCTGCAGATAAATGTTTAGTCTTCTCAAGCAGCAACTATCAAATATCTCTCCTGATTGTTGGCACTTGACAATCACCTTTCCCTGAATTTTACTCAGGTGTAACTAAAGCCTGATTTAAGGGTTGTTTATATTTCACATCATTAATCAGAATCTGCAAAGTAACTAAAATAAATGTAGTGGAGTAAAAATAACAGGTTAACCTCTGAATTGTAGTGGAGTAGAATTGCTGTTTTGTTTAGTAATGGATATTGAATATGGAATAAAGGTTTTGACAAGACCTGGTGTAATAATAATCAAAAAGGACATTAAAAGAGCTCCAGATGTTAATGATCTAAACAAAACAGCACACCTGAAATGTATATTTAAATACTTTATTAAGGGCAGTGAATTAGTTTTTTCTGTATGTTTTTTAAATCAGTGTTATACAGTAAGTGTCATAGACAGTGTTACATTGCTATTATTATCCTTAAAATATATGTAAAACAAAACCACTTATGATCTTTTTATTTGAGTGGTTTACTAATGACAGTTAATTCTGTTTTTGCTATTGATGGTTTCATTTTTGTGAAAAATAATAAAATAATAAAATTCAATAACGTGCTTTAACCACTAGATGTGCCTTTCTATCAGCTGTGCACCGTTATGGTGTAAATACAGCCTATCTACCAATTGGATCAAATATAAAAGTCAGCTGAATTAGTATTGATACTGCAAGGAGACGTATTGTGTGAAAATAAATGTAAGATGTTGTTTAATTGCTGATATATTTATGATCCACGTCACGTTTTCAGTTTTGGCGGAAGTGCTTCCTGTTTGTCCAGAAGTCTTCTCATCAGGGCTCTATAAATACAGAACTACGGCAGATATGTCATATACAATGCAGCCGAACCGTATATTACAATGCCGTTATGTGATGACCTCCAAAGAGAAAAGCAAGCAAACTCGGAATAAAGTATTATTTTATTTTTAAAAATGTTTTCGGATTTCACATCAACAGGAGTCCGGTTAACTAAAATGTCCGTGCGGAACAATACCCCTAACCCATAGATCCGTGGGTGAATAATGTCAATCACCACATTACACACATCCCTTTACATTTACATTTTAATTTACATTAAAGTATTTCGTGAGGCCTTCTAAAATGTTTTTAAATATAATTAGGGTTGTAGTTGAAGAGTTTGTAAATTGCGTTCGCACATCGTCACATCACGTTAATTCCACATCCACACCTCCACACACATGGATTAACATCGATTTAATACATTAATGTAGCCTTTGTTTCTACTAAAAGAGGTGTCGACAAGCTAGGGCAACAAGAAAATCGGCGAAATCGAGTGTGACGATTAAAAAATAAATAAAAAACATCTAATTTTGACAATAAAAAACGACCAATAGGCGCGGTAGACCATTTGCTTGGCACTTCCGGGTATTTCTCCACTGGTTGGGCCATGTTAACAATACCGTGTAACTGTCACGTTTGAAGGGACGAAACCGTGACATATTCACGTCTCCCAGCATGGTAGATCGTCACATGTTCACGTCTTGCCGTGATACCGGGCAGGAGATTCAGGTGATAAGGTGAGGGGGGGTTAGCTTGGTTGGTAATTGGCTAATGGTTACACAAGCCAACAAATCGTTATGACATCATAAAGTGGCCAAAATCAGATCAGCTCATCTTCAGACGGGTTTATATAAATGGATCAGGACAAAAAGTGAGCAAATGTTTTTTTCCTGAAACTTTCGGAATCTCTTTACACAGAGGGGACACATGTTTATGTATAAAATACATGAACAAGTGGATTTTGCATAATAGGTGACCTTTAAAAGGTAATGTATCATGATTTATTGTCAGTAGTAGCTGTAATTGCATTATTTAGTTTTTATTTGAAATGTAACGTTAACAAATGCAAGGAATGGAAAATTGTTTATTTTTGACAGCTAATTATTGTATTTTTTTCATTTTATTGCTCTTACGTTGGTATTGATTGTATACTTGCAAGGGTGTGCAATAAACATATACCATCAGTTGGAGAGTATGACAATTTGAGCCGGGGACGCTACAGTCAGCATCTACCTGACAGCATTACATTGACCACTGAAGGAAATTAAATATATGAGAGTTTAAAACGGAGTACATTTGTGAAGTGTTACAATATCATTAGAGCTCACTTACCCTTTAATGTAATGTATTACATGTCTTTAAATGGTTGAGTCTGATGGTCAATGTGTTAGAGTTGGCAGCCCTGCAAAAACATATTTTCTGTACGAAGTTATTCTGAGCACTTCATGCAGTGTTAATACAATGCATGGAGTGCTTAGAATAAGAGTGTTTTAGCTGAGATAGCAGGACAGTTAAAGTAGTAACAGTTATAGATAATAACATTTCAATAGTACACCAAAAATAGTAGAATAAGGAAATAGTAGCATACACTCCGTTCCCTTTTCTTCTTTGGGTGGGGTTCTTTATTTTGAAAACACCATCTTTTACGGTTTAGCACAAAATGAAACTGTTGCAGACAGGGTATTTCGTTTATTAACAACGTCTTGCAAGAATGTCAAACTTTACTACAAATTGTCATTATGGAAACATACAGGAGTTCCATTTAAGACTTTTGTAACAAAAACAGAACGTTTTGATTGAAGATATAAGTAAAAAGTTCAAAGCAGGAGCCATAAAGCAGATAAAGAGAAGTATCACCCAGCCACTGCTGCAGAAAACACTCTGCCCTTTCAAATTCAACCTTAGTAATGACCGTATGAGGGGCCTTGCGACATAGATACAACAATGATGGTGATAATAATGGTGATAAGGAACATGACGGAAGCCAGGACTGTGGCCGAGATGTTGAGCCAGCGGGCGGTGGAGCCGTAGTGTCGGGCTCCTTCCATATCTCCAACCACCTTCCGGTCTCTGGCCTGAAAGGACCAAAAACACATACATTTTAAGTGGATTCATAGATTTTCTAAAACTTAAATGCAATTACTTTATCTCTTTCCCCATAAGAAATGTTCTGTGTCTGATTCCATCTTTTGAAGTGTTGTTTTTTTTCTGTTTTGTTTTTTGTTTTTCTGTTTTGTTGTTTTTTTTTTTGTTTTTTTGTTGTTTTGTTTTATTGCCTGTCCTTGTCTGTTCACCCTTCCCGAAATGTAAAGCGTCTTTGGGTTTTAGAAAAGCGCTATAAAAATAAAATGTATTATTATTATTATTCCGTAGTCCTTTTATAATTTCTTTTTTTACAACTTTTTAATGTTTATTTTTTTAAATAATATGTTCTAAGCCTACATCTTAAGTGTTCAAGATTAAAAAATTCTGGTTCTGCAACTGCCTGCCAATAACTATAAAAAATGTTTGCGTTATTCTTTAATTAATAGGCCATAAAATAATATTTCCATGAATGAAACTCACCTTGATGGAGTGGATGAGAGCCACCAGTCCCAGGCAGCAGCAGGGGTTTGAGTAGAGAAAGGAGCTGAGGGACCAGATGATGTGGTCCCTGGGGGGCTCAGGGGGGATGCTCACAGTGGTGCATTGACCCCCTGCAGATCTTCCAGGCTGTCCCTGAACCCCTGGGTATCTCCCCTGCAATGGGATCATCTCAGGTGGGTAAACTGCAGGATTCATGGCTGTCGGATCAAATACAGTTTGAGGTGCGACTAGCAGACAAGCTGAGCAACTCACAGTGTCACGGTGGTCAGTGTGGGTTTTTATTTTTAAGCTGGGTGCTTTACGCAGCGCGGCCCGAAAGCCAATGAGAAAAACGCATACGCAACCTACTTGGGTTGGCTGTTGCTGCACAAGGAACATACTGTACGATTTGCTTTCTTAAAAATAAGGTCTGAAGAGTCTTGATGCACACTTTTGTTCCTCAAGGCAATTAGCAAAGGAAAAAGAGTTGCTGTCAAAAGAAAAATACACGATAATGTAATAAGCAATTTACAATACAGCTTGGTAATAAAATGGTATTGGCTTTGTTCTCGCCCCACTCGTTCTTCATTCCTTGAAGGTTCTGAGCAGTATCTTAGCTGTTCCTAGGACTGTGCTCATCTGGATAGAGATCATGGATGTTGTTCCTGAGATTTTCTGATGCCATTTCCAAGTTTAGGGGTCACTGCCCCGAGTGCTCCGATCACCACTGGAACCACTGTTGCCTTCACCTTCCACATATTCTCTAGCTCCTCTCTGAGCCCTTGGTATTTTCCAAGCTTCTCATGGTACTACTTCCTGATGTTGCTATCACTTGAGATTGCTATGTGTAACCCCCGGTTACTAAGACACTGAGAAATAACACTGAGTAACATGTCAACTTTATTTTAAGGCTTAGCACTACATACACACACAATATAAATTATTTGAAACTCCCGTCGTTCACTTCAAGTGGACCTATCATGCTATATTTAAATGATATATTGTAGGGCCATACCTATATAAGGTATATTTATACGTTTCTGTTTTCAAAATACCAAACAGATCATGCATTTTAGCCATGCCTCATTTCGCTCTATTTGCTGTTTGCTGTCTACGGGGCTGATTCTGTGAGCTGCAGCTGACCACGCCCCCCTGTAGGAGAGGGGAGCCGTGCTCTGATGAAGTCATTTGTTTTAAAGCTCAATAAATAACAAAGAAGACCTTTGACCGGCACTTTTCTAATTTTGTCCGGAAGATTTCAACTTTAACGGACATCTTGACCGGCGAAAGAAAACCTAACTGAAACTCTGACGCACGGTCCCCTCGTTCCTTGGAAGAGGTGGAGAGGTGGGTGTTTGTCATCTGCTGGTGGACTAACCGGAGAGAATTACAGTGCTTGCCTCGACGGGGAGGGATTGCATTGAATTAAAGCAGCGGGAGCAAACGCTTGCCTCGGGAGGGAGAAAAAAAGCCACAGCGGAGAATAAACAGAAGGGTAACCATGGTAACCATGCGCGGGAAGTCTTCTTCGCTGCTTTTGTGGCAGACTACAGCGCCACTTACAGGACTGGCATATGTACTACAGCGTCTCCAGCGCTTTCGAGCGGCAATGGCCGGCCGTGGCCCAACCCCACATTCCCCTGATAGGTGGAGAGTTGGCCCAATAGCCGTAGCGCCACTTTCCTGACGTCAGTAAAGTGTACAAATCTGGATCAGTTTTTATCAGATCCGTTGCGGCCCCTTTTTTAGAGATTTGCGTATGGAGGAAAATAGAGAGGGTTGTGTTTTCTGACACTTGGTGAGTTCCCTGGAACACCGGGGACACATATTCATGTTTAAAAGACTTACAAAAGTGCATTTTGCATGATAGGTCCCCTTTCGCGACCGACACATCACTAGCTGTAGCACTGTGTGGATTTAGAGTTAAGAGATTGTAGTTATTTAGAAGAATTTAGACATTGATTGACCGACTTTGCCACGATTTCCAAAGAGCATTGCCTTTTATATGATACCCTTGGTGAGTTGCATGAGAAAATACGGATGCTAAATATGTATTTTAATGAAATTTTCGATGCTAAATTAGCCGCGGCTAACCGTTGCTAACGCGTTAGCCAAGCGTGTATCATTGTTGCTTTAATGTGTGCGGAGCAGAGGGAGGTGAAGCTCACTGCACGGAGCTATTGTCTGTGGTTTTGGCGGTGGTCTTCACGTTGCTGTTGTGGCACATTGAAGGGGCATTGACCACAGCTTAGTCTGTTGTTTGTTGTGGAAGATGAGCAAAGTGGAGCTAACTGTGGCTGGTTATAGGTTGGTCTAAAATTAGTTGAGTACACTTTGTTAAAATAATAACATGTGTGACAGATGTGTTAAATAAGCTGTCTGATAATTGTTGTATTTAGAATTGTTTGTTTAATAGGATTTTAGGAACATGTGTGTATTTTGTTGATTTGATTAAGATACAGAAGAAGTGCTTGTTTCAATTTGCATTTAAACCATTGTATAAGCATTAATTTGACTCTTGGCCTTTTTGTCAAGGTCGGGTCTTTTTGTTGATGTGAAAGAGATTTCTGGATTCTTTGACTGGAACGCTGCCCTCATCTCTGCTGGTGTATTGTGGCAAATTTCAGTCTGGCGAGCTACCCATCGACCTATCTTAAAGGAAGAGAACTACAGTTACCCACAACGGTGGTAGGACAAGAACTTGTGCATCTTTTTCTCTTCACAAGTTGAGAACCAAGAACTGATTATTGATTGTTTTGATACTATGTTTAATATGTTATAACTATATGTGTATAGAAGTAATGTGATAAGTTTTCTTTCATTTTATTTAAGAGTATGAAATAATATTTCAAATACAGAGTCCTGGTTCCCAAACTTAGAATATATAGCTTAGCTACTAAAATTAAATAAAACCATTAGTTTATATTAAATAGGGATAATTAAAACAGAAGTAATAACACTAAATTCTATCAAAATAGTTATAAAATAAATAGGTAAAAATAATTAGAAACAGGATACTCTCAAATTCAATAACAAGGTAACTGAATATATATGTATATAAAATGTTTATCTGAAAGAAAGAGGGAATGGAGAATAAATATTATAGCTTTCTTTACCTTTTCCAAACAACGTCTGCTTTGTGTCTTTTCACTTTTGTTGCACAGTATCCATTTTCTCCTGAGCGACCTAGACTTCAGATGTGCTGGTCCACACACTGAAATGTCTACACTTATATTAGAGAGGTTTGTTTGAAACTGATTTGTATAACTAATTCTGTGCTCAGCATTAACTTGTGCTTGTGTTACATGTCTTTCACAACTGCCTTCTTCTGCTGCTTAAACACTGAGGTGGGGTCAGACAACACCAACACATTTTTCTGGAAGGTAGTTTCAAAACCCACAAGCCTTTCTACAGTCTTAGCAGGAAACCCACTCAATCAGTTTTGCTACCACTTAATGAAACACACTGAAATAAAACGTCAATAAGCTCAATTAAAATATAAATATATCTTTGAATACTGCTTTAAAAGATCCATGAAGACAAACCTGCTTTAGAAAGACGGCGAGAACAGAAGAAATGGAGACAAAGAGAAGCTGCTGAAAGGCTTTGATTACAAATGAATTAAATATAACAAGCACTAATTACACATCTCATTTGAAAGAGTTTAAGAACTCTTAACAATAATATAAAAATACTTTACATTCAAAAGAACATTTGAAAGTAAATACAAAACTAGCAGATTACATGTACGACCCTTAGATATTGATGCACTGTTGGAGATCTGTGTGCTCTCTTCTCAGGATAAAGGGATTTAATTAAAGGGGACCTATTATGCAAAATTCACTTTTTCATGTCTTTTATACAGAAACATGTGTCCCCTCTATGAAAAGAGCTTCTGAAAGTTTCAGGAAAAAAGATTCGCTCTCTTTGTCCTGATCCATTTATATAAAAACCTGTCTGAAAATGAGCTGATCAGTACAACATCAAGCAGAGCATTTCATAACTGGTTCTCGTGATTGAAGGTTAAAATAATCTTTATTTGGTAGTCATAAACACAAAAAAGGCACTAAAGATTTAGCAGTAATGCATATAAATTCCTCATCTTGATACTTGCGCCTCATAAATTGCATATAATGAGTACGGCAGATGACCATAAGCAAACAAGCTTTATAGTTAGACTGACAAAGGGTTTCCAGAGCCATTTGTACTAAATACAATATAGCTTTTCATGATTATTGACGGAAAAATAACCATAAGTGAAAAACATTTTGAATACATCTGCTTACTTTAAATTGAAGTTTAAGATTATAGTTGGAGGATTACAACATAGTAGTACACACACAACCTGAGGATTTATAGCAAACAATCATATCTCATCATGTTTTTTGGCAGCAGTTGGGGTTAATTGATGTAATGAGATCAAATCAGAATGCAAAAGACATACTTTTATAATTATTTTAAAGAACTTTTAAATGTTAAAAGTCCAGATGTCATAATTGCCATGCTTTTGGTATTAACAGGATTAAACTAAAAACAAATCAAGGTGTTTTTATGTTTTTTTAAATGATTTTTCAGTCGAGACAAATTAAGTATTTTAAAGAAAATCAACTGTTTAACTGAATTAAAACCTAACTAACACCAACCCTGACACTATATGGTTAATAAGTTCGATCTTGTCACTGGTAGTAGCAGTTGGCAGTCACGCAAGTGCATTTGCTCGTAGATAAATGATGAGGGGGGGGGGGGGGGGGGCGCCCCCTGTGGACATTTAAGGCTTCACATCTTGGAAGAGGCGACGATGGCCGAGGCTCCTGGGCGGCTGTAAACGTGCACTTCTGTGTTCTGAAAAACACAAAAGTGGAGAAGAGAGAGAAAGAGGATATTATTTAAATGAACATAAGATACATGGCATATTCAAGCTTAACTGGTGGCATTATGAAATATGTAAGAAAGAGAAATCACAAATTAACATTTCATCCAATCTAAACATCTATACATGGATGGACTGTTACTCAACACTGGATTAGACCTCACAGCGAGAGTGTTTACCTTCTTGTTCTCGGCGTTGTACTTGTTGAGAAGGCTCTGAACGCGGTTGCCATAGTCTGCATGAACAGCCTTCAAGTTCTCCACCTGCATGAAGAACCAGACAGTGAGACTTTAGGCAAGGCAAGGCAAGTTTATTTATATAGCACTTTTCTGTACGCAACAATTCAAAGTGCTTTACAAAACAAATTAAAATACTTTTTAGGAATAAATACAGTAAAAACACATTA